GGAAAACTGGACAGCTACATGTAAAAGTATGAGATTCGATCACTCCCTAACACCATAAACAAAAATAAGCTCAAAATGGATTAAATACCTAAATGTAAGGCCAGAAACTATCAAACTCTTAGAGGAAATCATAGGCAGGACACTCTATGACATAAATCAGAGCAAGATCCTTTTGACCCACCTCCTAGAAAAACTGAAATAATAACAAAAATAAACAAATGGGACCTAATGAAACTACTGACAAAGGATTAATCTCGAAAGTTTATAAGCAGCTCATGCAGCTTAATAACAAAAAAACAAACAACCCAATACAAAAATGGGCAGAAGATCTAAATAGACATTTCTCTAAAGAAGATATACAGACTGCCAACAAACACATGAAACAATGCTCAATATCACTAATCATTAGAGAAATGCAAATCAAAACTACAATGAGATATCATCTCACACCAGTCAGAATGGCCATCATCAAAAAATCTAGAAACAGTAAATGCTGGAGAGGGTGTGCAGAAAAGGGAACACTCTTGCAGTGTTGGTGGGAATGTATATTGATACAACCACTGTGGAGAACAGTAAGGTGGTTCCTTAGAAAGCTACAAATAGAACTACCATATGACCCAGCAATCCCACTATTGGGCATATACCCTGAAAAAACCATAATTCAAAAAGAGTCATGTACCAAAATGTTCATTGCAGCTCTATTTACAATAGCCCAGAGATGGAAACAACCTAAGTGTCCATCATCGGATGAATGGATAAAGAAGATGTGGCACATATATACAATGGAATATTACTCAGCCATAAAAAGAAAGTGAGCTATTTGTAATGAGGTGGATAGACCTAGAATCTGTCATACAGAGTGAAGTAAGTCAGAAAGAGAAAGACAAATACTGTATGCTAACACATATATATGGAATTTAAGAAAAAAAAATGTCATGAAGAACCTAGGGATAAAACAGGAATAAAGACACAGACCTACTAGAGGATGGACTTGAGGATATGGGGAGGGGGAAGGGTCAGCTGTGACAAAGCGAGAGAGAGGCATGGACATATATATACTAACAAATGTAAGGGAGATAGCTAGTGGGAAGCAGCTGCATAGCACAGAGAGATCAGCTCGGTGCTTTGTGACCGCCTGGAGGGGTGGGATAGGGAGGGTGGGAGGGAGGGAGATGCAAGAGGGAAGAGATATGGGAGCATATGTATATATATAGCTGATTCATTTTCTTGTAAAGCAGAAACTAACACACCACTGTAAAGCAATTATACTCCAATAAAGATGTTAAAAAAATTAAATTAAATTAAAAAGAAAGAATACCTACACCGAGCTAGTAGGGAAAAAAAATAATCATTTGCATGTTTTCCAGTCTGAAAAGCAAAGTATTACCAAATGATAAAATACTTGGAAAATTTGAAGGCTACAGTGTAGTCCCACAATAATTAAACAGAACTTCTATTAACATTGGTAATTTCTTTAAGCAATCTCCAAATCAAATATTGCTTTAATGAAATAAAATCATTTAGCCCCACTGAGAGAGAAATTATGAGAAAAGTTATGCAGTATGAGTAGCCCCAACTAAGCATTTTTCAACTACAAAGTAAATACATGTATCTGTGTGGCAGGAGAGGGTATCCATATAAAAACCTCAGCTTTTAAACGAAATTGGGATTAAAAAAAAGAATGCTGATTTAGAAAAAATTGTAGCAATCTCGTTTTTTCCTCTTAAAAGCTCAGTTTTAAATATTTTCCACGTCCTGTAAAAAATACAAATGAATAATATTCTGAAAATATTTCTTTTTTGGGAGGAATGGATTCTTCATTGACTGTTTTAGTATGCAACCCCTAAAGCAACGCCTGGTTTAATAATCCTCAACACTATCACTGTTGAACTTGAATACACTACCATCTTATGACTGAGGCTTAATTCACAGTACAGGTATTAAAATATAGGACATTAAATATCCTTTCAATGAAAGAACCTATTTCAAACATAACTAACAGGTATTTGAAAGGCAACATTAACATAATGACACATTCAAATAAATGACTTTAAAATTTCGTGTATAATTTAAATAACCTGACAAACTGTTTGATATTATTATTCTCCCTTTCAAAAAGTACATAAAGTCTAAGCTATAAAATTTGAAGTAAATTCTCAGTTATACAAAATTGAAAGTATAAAGTTCGTCCACTATTTAATTTTTTCTAAAAAGCTCAGTCAAAATATCATAAAAGTTAACCTGTTATTCAACCTATAATTTTTGTCATTGTTTATTAAATAAATGCAATTCAATAGAAATTACTTTACAAGTTAGACCACTCTCACAACAGCATACATTTACTTTCAAATATGAATGATACTATATAATAGACTAAATACATAATAGACTAAATACACTAAAATAACAGAAACTTATTTATTCACACCTACTGAAATATTCAGGACACGACTAAGTTCTTTAAATGACCTCAAAAGCTATTATAACTTTAAAACAGAAAAGATAAATAATGGTGAAATGTGTTGTAAAACTTTCACACACATATATAAGTAAATATGTCATATATAAGTACATATGTTTTGGGAATTATTACTTTGTCAATTTTAGAAATATCAAAACTTCTTTGGCTACAAACTAGCCTATATATCTTGGTTCTATCCAATTCTTTCAACTCTCATGAAAAGATAGATTATAATTAAAATTAAATGCTTGAACAAGCAAAAAGTTTTACAGAAATTTATTGCATCCAAATAGTTAACCATTTGCATTAATACACTATTTACCTCTCCATAAACATTAACACTGAAAATGTATTACAACACTGCTAAAAAGGCAAAGCATATGAAATTTATACACAATTACACAACTGTGTACAAATTTATACACAATTACAATATGCTGTCTACCAAAATACATCCTACTCAAAAACATGAAAGGTAAAAATAATTCCAAGACTTTATCATGATCTGAAAACAAATTTTTAAAAGTTGCTTAGTACATATTCAAATATGCTCAAGTACGCTGTCTATACCAAAATAATTCAAGAAGGTATTTGTATCCCCATCATTAGATAACCCATTAGGTACCTCATTGGTATACTGGATATGAAACAAGTTATTAATGGCATATTTTATAAAAGCACACTAAACTGAATATAAAGAAAAACATGCTCAAGGTAAAATTCAATTCTTCTCAAAAGTACTCAACAGAGGTGTATTTTTTAATCACAAATGCAAGATGGAATTAAAGATACCTTTCAATAAAATAATTGCCAGTTACAGAGAGATATGATCAAGTAACTTAAAAGATAAAAATGATATTTATATTTTGACAAGCTCTAACACAAATAAAAATTATCATACCTTAATGACACTCATTTGGTGTTTAAATATGAAATTAAGATTCATAACTCATAAGTAAATTAGGATATAGCATGTTTTAAACATTATTAGCCTTTCAATAACATTTGAGGCCTTAAGATTTACAAGAAAGCAAATGGTAGCATAAATAAATGAAGAGGAATTAAAGCATTTTAAAAGAGAATAAAATTTTAAATGCTTTCATAATCTCACTGTGATCATATCATATACTATATAAAATGCCTGATGAATAAAATGTATGCCTTCACCATTCCATTATGGACCCGACCCCGATCCCACAAAATAATTGGATATATATTTTTAATTAAAAAATAAGTAGGTAAAGCAGCATCTGAGTCTTTGTGATTAAGCTCTATTCAAAAGTGCAAAATAAAATTGTTCATTCACCTTAATAAAAATGCCCTCCTGTTAATTAGAATGCTGATCTTTAAAACAGAAAAATCTATCAGCACCAGCAAGATATAAAACAGCTAGAGTGACAGCTGGCCCCACAGTATTTACCAACTCAAAGTTAATTTCTTACAAAATTATGACACAAAATTACATGTTTATTTTCATGTTTTCTTAATTATTAGAGTTTACTATTAGGAATAAATGGATGGTTAATACAGTACTATGTAGTAAAACCTCAAGTCTATTATAGATTTTTTGGTGCTAGAATTAATCAGAGAACATTTCATCCAACCCTTTTGTTTTAAAGAACAGAAAATTTTGGCAGAGAGTAGTTAAGTCACTTGCCCACGATCACACAGAAAGGTTATAACTAGAAGTCAGATATTCTCATCCCCATTATTCCAAAATTCCATCCACTACACCACACTGTCTTCTTGTTGAAGATTATGAGTGTGGGGGATCCTATAGTCCAGGAAGGGTTTAAAAAATATGTAAAAACATTATGGTTATACTCCTTAATACCTTTGTTTTCTTTATTCCTCATTGCTAGAATATGGGTGTATCTTTATTTTTTTTCTTCTCCCAGCTATTCCTTAGTTAAGTCAATCTGTACAGGCTACACTGTTCCCATATAAACCTATTAAGTATTAAAATTAATACTATCATACTGTCTACTTCTATTTTATTTGACAAACTGTTAAAATCTAAATCAGTCTAGATACTTTCCAAATTCATACTTATTTTGAAAGCATTTTCTTAATCTTAAACATCTGAGCAGTCTTTTTCACTTTGAACAGGTTTTAATGAATAGGACCACCACACTGGATGGCAATTTAAAACAATAATCAAATATTGAAGACAGAGATGTCTGTTGTCACCAATTTATTGAGATATGATTTACTTTCACCAATAAAATAATCTGTCAAAATTAAAATATTCTCAAAAAACTACCACTAAATTACATGGAAACATAAAAATCGACAGTGCTGTATTTATAACACACCCTATGCTAGGTGTGTTACTATTTATATTTACTTTCTTTTAAGGTTTCTGAGTTTTAGCCCATTTTCTGGCCTTTCTTTCAAACTTGCAGGAAGACTGTGAGCGAGTCTTTCTAAGGCAGGCACTCCTGGTTTTTAAACCTGCTTGTGGTTCCCTTGCTGCTGTTTGTGCCCACACCTAGGGTGTGTTATAATCTTTTTAAAGTCCTTACAGATGGAATCATACCTATTCTCAGGATCATTGTCATCGTCGTCATCATCCACTGTGACAGGCATTGATTTAGATAAGGCTTCATCTCCTTGAAGGAACAAAAGTGTATTTAAATTAGCTTTAAATTATCTTTATAAGTAAAACCATGTAAAATAAAACTGAAAGCCAAAAACTTTAAAACAACTAGTGAGTTCTAAACTATACTCTGGGATCCAAAACATGAATAAAAAGGATTTATAAGGAAAGTACAACGGGGAATTTAAGAAGTGCCAGCAGCAAAATAATAAATAGTTGGATGTTACATATTTCAAAGTTCCTTCCCAGAGCACAAGAATTTTAAAACTCATCCTTCCCAGTAACAAATCTTTTATCATTCACCACGATATTAGCATAAGTTTATGGCTAAAATAAGCTTTGTAGTGATCCATTTTAAGTTTAAAGTTAACAGATGTCTAATTTTTCCTGTATCATTGAAGAACTTTTTAAAATGCTATTAATACTTGGTAGTACCAAATAATTTTAAAATATACCTGAATTTGTATGGTATCCAGGAGTAGAATCATCCAGAGATATATTCAAGTACAGTAAAACTTACTTCCTTATAAAAAGCAACGTTTCTATCCTTTGATTAAAACTATAAAGAGATTAAGATTTGTGCATTTCATTGTATGTAAATTTTGCCTCAAAAACAAACTTAAACATTGTACTCTAGTTAACACTATATACGCTGAAGTAACCAGGGAGAATTCTGTTAATGTTTACCATTTACTTTCAAATGCATCAAAGATTTCAAGGGCATTACACTGAGTGAAAAAAGACAATTTCAAAAGGTTACACACTTCATGATTCCATCTCAAAATAACAAAATTACAGAGATGGAAATCAGATTAACAATTGCCACAGGTTAAAAATAGAGATATGCTAGGGAGTGTGCATAAGGGGTAGCGCAAAGGAACTTGTGGTAATGAAAGTTCAATATCTTGGTTGTCTGTGGTGGTTATATTTACAAAGCTACACGTGATACAAATTTTGCACAGAACTATACTTACACACACACACAAATGAAGGAGTACATGTAAAACTGGTGAAATCTGAATAAATCTTCAGTTTCCTGGTTCTGAGATTGCACTATAATTATGAAAGATGTTACCACTGGAGGGAAATTAATGAAAGGCATACAAAACCTCCCTGTACATTTTCTTGCAACTTCCTGTGAATTTATAATTATTTCAAAATAAACAGTTAAAAGGGGGGAAAAAGTTAGGTACACTGATGGATAGACAGGATATATAGATAAGTATGTGATAAAGCAAATACAGTACAATGTTAACTGTAGAAACTTTTCTGTATATTTAATATTTTTTCATAATAAAATACTGGGGGAAAATATTGGAGAAAAAATCCCATAAGGAACACAGACACCTACAGGTTCAGGATAGAAATATGCTAAATATAGAAAGGCAATAATAAATCTCACAATATCTTAGCAAACTCACAATAAATACCTCATTCAAACAGACCAATCTTCAAATGAAATATTACTAGTGATATTACCATTGTTCCTCTTTACTACACCTTTGAAAATGTTACCCATCCTTCAAAGTCAAGTTCAAATGCTACCCGTTCTTTTAAGTCTTCCTCCAATATTTAGATTAAGTAGCTCACTTGCTATTTATCACACAGCCCCATTTTAGTTTTATATCTTTCTTCTGATATTTTTTTTTAAATGACTTATCTATGTCTATCTTGCTCATTGGACTATAATCTCCTAGGATCGTGTTCTTCATCTTGGTTGGTCATGCCATGCCACAATTTCTAGGAAAATGTTGTACCCTGTAACAGGATACCCAACTATTGCTGAATAAATTGGAATCCTCTAAATTCATGGGAGCAGGGGAGGCTTTTTAAGAGCTCATAAAAACTGTCACCTAAATTAAGTTGGACATATTAGGAGAATAAATAAATTTAGCAACTATTATGTTTTGAATACAAGTCCACAATCTCATACACAATTTGAAAATCCAAAAAGTTCTCAAAATTTAAAGTTTTGTAAGGTGGTGCCAAAGTTCATTTGGCAGCAAAATCTAATCTGAACTGTTTATTCCTCTTACATGTAAATGTTCATATGTTTTGCTGCGGAAATACTAATGTGTTTGATTATGGGGCCTCAGGACCTACTGGGGCTACTATGTAATATACGATAACTACTCTATATTACCTTCCTAAAAACAAAAGAGTTGAAAATCCTGAAATACATTAAGCCCCAAGAATATTAGGGACTGCAGACCTGTAGTTAAAACAGCCATACAAGCAGAACTCCATCTAGGTATCTGATATAGCAGAGCATTAAAATGAGTATACCATGCATATCCCACTTGGTTTTCAAAGCAACTCACTGGAGCTCCAAAAAAGGGATTTAAAGTTTTACTAAAAATCAAGAGTCAAGTGAATTCCACTAAAATCCAACTGGGATAAATGGAAAATCACAACAAAAGGAAAGAAAGGAAAAACTTTTAACATTTTGCTTGTGCTGGGAAAACAGTTACATAAGAAATTTACTTTATAAATATTTTAAAATTAATTTTAAGTGTCCGTGGTTAACTGATGGGTTTTACTGACTTAAAAACAAAGACAATATGACCAACAAGTGTACATTTATTATACAACTGATTTTTTTAAAGAACTGCCATAATGATAAATATTTTTAATTTTTTTTGGGGGGTGGCGTATTATTGACCAGTTGACCCAAACCCTAATTGTCCTAGTGCTCTATCTCATCAGGGTAGGGTAATCCACCTACTTTCTGGATTTCTTTCTTCCTCTATTTTGTTAGTGTTAAAAATGGAAATATCTGTTCATGTCATTAGAAAAAAATTGATGAGCATAAGCAAAGGGTTTCAATAAATAAACTTAAATTTTTCTGAGGATTTCATAGGACACAAAGTTACTCTGCCCAATTTAAAAAGTCAGATGAATGGCAAAGCAGTTAAAACTTTCACACACGTTATATCCATACCAAGCACTCATCTCCATTACTTGAATAAATATCTACTGAACTAGCACCAGTCTGATCTTCCTTCATAAATTACTTTTCATTACTCCAAATAAAAGCATTAAACATTGATAAATTTACCCAACACACTTGGTATAGCTGATACAGAATACTAACAATGCTGCAAATACCTCCCAATGATGACCAAAAAATGGAGAAAGAGTTTCTAGTAAATCTCTATAAAGAATTTTTAAATGGTGTTTTCCTAAACAGTAAGTAACCTTGTGTTTGATTGACTTCAGAGAAAATTAAACAATGTAGTTATTCAAGAGGGAGAAAGTACAAATTTTCTATTTATTTTCCCATACCTGAAGATTGACAAAATCCAGTATGTGAAGACAGCACTAAATTTTCAGTCACAGGCTTTATTTTCTGCTCATCACTGCTCCCCTCACCTACAGAATTCTGATCATCTCCTATATCAGAAGAAGATGAGGAAGAAATGTCAGCCTGCTTCCTTTTAGTGCTTGTTCTTAGGGAGTTTCTCATTTTCTCCTTCATATTGCCTGCCTTCTTTTTAGCTGAAGCTCTTTGTTTCTTCAGCTTTTTATTATCTTCGGAACTTTCCTCAACATCAGAAGATGATGAGCCATTTTGTACTTCCTTGGTATTTCTCTTCGAATTTAAATTTCTTCTTTCCCTTAATTCGTTTCTTTTTGGTCTCTTATCAGAAGAATCACAACCATCTTCTTTCACGGAATATTTCTCAGTATCAGATGATGAACAATCTTGTCTCTTCCTTGAACTCTTTTCAGGTAAGTTGCACCTTTTCTTCTCTCGACTGGATGTTCCATTCTTACTCCTCTTATCTTCGGAAGAATCACAACTGTCTCTTTTCCCTGGTAACTTCTCAGCATTATCAGATAATTCATCCTTCTTTTTAGAAGTTTTATCTTTTATTTTTTTATTCTTCTTTTCCCCATCAGTTGTGTCATTCTTACTTTGTTTTATGCCTTTAGGAAAATGACAAATTTCTTCTCCTTCGGGTAATTTCTCAGTGCTATCAGATGATGATTCATACTGTTGTTCCATCTTAATTACTTTTTTCTTCAAGTCTGTAGTTTTCTTTTCTTTTTCTTCAGTTCCCTTTTTGCTCTGCTTGTTATCATCTTCAGAGGATTCATCACTCTGTTCTTTCTTTGGGCACTTCTCAGCAACATCAGATAAGCCACCTTGTACTTTCTTACACATTTTGGTTTTCAGATACTTACTCTTTTCTTTAGTTTCAGCAACCTTTTTGTCTTCTGGAGAATTAAAACTCTCCTCTTTCCCAGAAGAAAGCTTATCAGCACCATCTGAGGAAACACTTGGCTGCTGCTTCTTAGAGAGTCGATCTCTCAATTCCATGAAAGTCTTGTCTTTCTCAACTATGCCTTCTGCTGAAGAGAAATTCTCTCTCTCTTCTTTCCTTTCAGCAGCATCAGATGATCCTTCCTGGGCAGTCCTCAAAATTTTCTGACCTTGATTATCCATTCCTTTTTTGCTGTGTTTTTCATCTTCAGAAGAATCATAATCTTCTTTATTTGGAACTCTTTTTGTTGTTGTTCTGGCAGCCCCGATTTTACTCATACTCTTTATCTCCTTTTCTAATTCTGAGTCATAATTAGAAGATTCAGACTGGTTTTGTCGTTTCTTTTTAGAAATTATAGACCTTTTAGCTGATTTGCCTTTTTTAATATCAAAATCTGAGCCAGAAGTAGAACTTTTTCGTTTCCTTTTTCCTTTATCATCTTTTCCTGTTTGAGTCTTTACATCATACAAAGTCTTCTCATGATTTGTATGAGGTTCATTAATATCAGTATCTGAAGAAGAACTGTGACTCATCCTGGATACTTCTTTGAGGATTGCTAGCATTTCATCAGAATCTGAATTTTGATCCACAGTCTCTGACTGCTTAGATTTAGGCAATTTATTAGGTTTAGGATTATCTATAGCACTGTCAGAAGAATTCCGCTTATCCTTTTTTCTCATTGAAACTGATAGCTTTTGTTTCTCCTTAACGGTGTCATTATTTTCTTCATCTGAATTAAACGTTGTAGGGTTGGTTTCTGTCTGTCGCCTCAAGGGTGTAGTCTTTACACGTGGGGATCTTCGAAGATCAGATTCTTCTGAAAGTAATGGAACTTCACTTTCAACCAAATGCTCATTATCATTCTTTTCCAGTTCAAGTCCACAGTTCTCCAGCTTGGGGTTCAGACAAGAACTTCTATAGCTATCTTTATCTTGTGGAACTTCCTGACAATCAGCACCTTTAATTGGGGAATTAGAAAGGGAAACAGGGGTGAGTTTAACATATAATTCTTTTGTTACTTTAGCTGTTGTTTTTGATTTAATACCTCCTCTGTTGTCTTTTGAAGTAATATTTAATTTTACAGAACTCTCCAGCTCTTGCTCAATTCTACTGTTGCCATCTCCCTGATAATCTGCTGAACTCTGAACTTCCATAGCAGTCTCAAGATTCTCAAAAATGTCTTCTGGAACTGAGGAAGGAACAGACACAATATCCATGTCTAAGTCTTCAGAAGTGTTAGCAGGTTCATACTGAGGTTCTTCTTTTTTATCAGATTTTTTATGTTCACCACTGGGATTTTTATTTGCTCTTTGTTCCTCTACTGCAACACTCTGATCCACATGCTCACTATCTACCTGCTTTCTTGACAGTTTAGCTTCTGATTTTGAAATATCCTTCCTTTCCAAAGCACAGGGTTTTTCCCCTTTTCGTACTTTTGTTTCAGACTTAGCATCTATGACTTTATGCTCTTTGGTATTTTTCTCTTTGTTTACAGCATCCAAAGCTCGAATCTCTGAATTCAAATCTTCTTCTAACGCAAGATGAACTTTCTTGATATCAGCCAACACAGATTTAAAAGCCTTAAGCTGACGTAACTTTGTAGCAGAATTGATTTCTGAATTATCTGTTGCTTGCTTCAAAAACTTAACGTAACTGGAGTTCATGTTGGCAGTAGTCTCAATCAGTTTCTTTGCCTTCTTAATCATCTCCTTTGGCACAATTAGTGCCGAATAAGAGTAGGTTACAGAACCAGAACATGAATCATCTAATTTCTTTTCTTCTCCATTACAATTTGAACTGTTTTTCTTTGGAGAAAATCTGGGTGTATGGTCATATACTTTACTACTCTTTTCATTGTCAACTTTTATCTTCTTCTTATTTTGTTGCAACAACTGTTCTAAGTTTTCAAATACGCTGTTACATGCTGTGACCAAATCCAACAAAGGCTCCGGGTGACAAATGTAGCAATACCATTGGTTGTTTTCATCCATTATTGTAGACAGCTCCTTTCGACCAAGGTTGCGTAGAATGCATTTCTTGCAGAAGGCATTATGGCAAAAGTCACAACAAATCAAGTTTCCACCTTCTGCACACCATCTGAAATTATTTAAAGATTAAAATATTATTCTGAAATGAAACACATTTTAAACCTTTACAGTATTAAAGCAATTTAAAATTTCCTGGCAGCAATTTTAATAGCAAAGTAATTTTGGTCATTTACTTATTCTTTATTAGAAAATTAAAAGACATAAACCAAGGACTTCATGGAAAAGAACAACCATCCACGAAAGATATCAATGAGGATACTATAAAAAACAGATCTAATATCAGACTATGTAAGAATTTCGCCTCAAAAAGCAGACAACACTGAATTTTAGTTCATCTTGATTTATTACCTACCTACATTGTTCATCCATTCCATCTGAGTCACGGCTAATATCATCACTCATGTAATATTTAAAGCAATTCTATTAAAAAAGAAAAGGGAAAGGGGAAATTTATTCAAAACTGTTAACATTCATAAAGGAGAAAAACTTTATTTTTTAAGTCATTAAAAAAGTACAGGGAATGTGTGTGTGTGTGTGTGTGTGTGTGTGTTTCAGAGAATCAAAGTGATAACACTGTATTACCCCTACTAGTACTTTCCAGACACAGGAATAGAAACTAATTCCTTGAAATAGATTTCCATATCATCAAGTACCATTTTTCCTTACATAAAAGTTGATAAAAGATTTTGGTAAAGCAAATTTCTGATCTCATATGACTAGCTACCAAAGATCTACATAAAAATGTATTAGATGTTGCTATTAGTTAATAATAATTGACTAGTCATCATATATAAACAGCTACTATGTATAGAGCTGAGCAACAGTATCCTACATTAACCTATATTATCTTTAAATCTCAAATACCTACTGTGCAAGGTAGGAGGTATTACAGCCCAATTTGAGAGAAAAGGCTCTGGTTCATTAATATGTAACTAAATCTCCTAAAGTTATACAACTGGAAGATGCAAAACTGGTATTCAAATCCAAGTCTGAATGACTTTATATTCCTTTTCACTGGGACTGGAGAAAAGGGGAGGTTCCATGCCCACTGAGGAAAACTACTGATTACTGAAATGGGCTAGGCACAACAGACTGGCCCTTAAAAAAAAAAATACCAATCACGTATGTAAGAAAAGAGAAAAGCAATGCACATTACAAATCCAACAATATAAAATTCAGCTGTCACAATTTAAAACTAGAAGCTACAACATGTACCCTAAACAGGGTCCTGGCTGAAATGAATTCAAGGAAAGTAGGACACAAATTACTAAAAGATGGAGTAAATTTAGTACATTTAAGGAGGTCTACATCTACCAAAAATTCATACAAGATCTAGAACTGGAACTCTAATTAAGGAAAGTCTGGTCTGCCCCTGCAATTCAAGGAGGCATTTTATTGGGAAGCAAACTAACAAAGGATTAATTTTAGCAGTAATATGAGTTGGGGAAATGATAACCTTGATACTATAGATATTTAAAATTAATTCCAAGGTATTACTTGTAAAAAAGTTTACACAGACTGTTAAAACTATCTTCAATACATATGAAACATTTTTAATTCTATTATCTCCAAATTATGTCAAAACCCTGCTCCACATGGAGAGTTCAGATTTGGGTAATTAGGCTATGTAAGAGAGAATGTTATGAAACATATGTGTGCACACATATATATTCTGCAGTTTCCCAACACATCACACTCGCCCTCACCTCTGAGCCTTTGAATACCATGTTCCCTCTGGCCTAGAATATGCTAAACCAATCCCACTTTGCCAAGCTAATTCCTATTTATATTTCAGGTACCACCTACATCATTTCCATTATAAAGCCCCACCACCACCCAACTCCAAATTACAAAGGCTTCCTGTGTGTTCCCAAAGTACACAGTAACTCCCCTATCATAGCACTTATTGGGCCTTTCATGTCTGTCTTCCCCACTACATTATATATCCTCCAATGGCAGAGACCATTTCCGTCTTCATCACTGTGCATCAAAAGTCTGACACATGTTAAGCATTCAAATATTTGTGGAATTAAGTATCAACAGATCATTACATACCTTACAAATAAGTACTTGCAGTGAAGGATGTCTATAAATGGAATCTTTTTGAAAATGATTGACCTGTTGTCCACAAGCGGTACAGCTCACAATCCCATGAAGCCCATCTTCTAGGAGAAAGGAGTGACCATTATTCACACATATACACACATACAAAAAGATATATACTTTAGTCAGCATTTCCCAACATTCAAATTGAAAATTAAATACCTCATAATCCTTGAGAAAATGACATTTTGGACACAAATACAAAGGTTAATAATTTTATGGACTTACTAAAAAAATGACAACCTTGACAAATTGCAGAGCTAATTTGCTCCCTTTTACAGATACAAACCCTGTTTCTTACAACAACTTGATATAACATGAAGAGACTCCATAAAAGAAGTTCTAAAAATAGGGGTCAAGAGCTCTTTTGCATTTTGCTACTGCTTCACAAAGAAATTCAGGATCAGTTCTTAAAGAATGGGGAAGTAAAATATATGGAATAGATTCTTTTGTAAACCTGTACTTAAGTTAGGTATGCCATAAAGTTTTTATTCTCAGAATGGAATTGTCTACACAGATCCTTTCAATATTATGTGAAAACCTGCTAACTTTATATTACCAATTTCCTTCCTAAGATTCCCTTCAATACCATCCACAATCCCCATTAACCTGCCTTTTTTCTATGTCTATTCCATATCGGCACTGTCTATTATTTCCAAATAAGAACAAATAAGATTTGCAGGTATATCTATCTTGACAGCAAAACTTCAGAATGGCTGAGTTTTGACAGAGCCCCATTCCACAGTTTCTGCAGAAAAACAGATGGAAGATAACCTACACAAGAATAAAGGGGACCTCTCCTGCCTCACTCTCGTCCCTAGTTCTGCACGGTGCTTCAAAATCTGAGCTGAACATTAGAATCAGCCAAAGAATCTTTTAAAAACAGGGACAGCCATTCCCACCCCTAACCCACTGAATGGGGATCTCCTGGACACTTTTTTCTTTTTTAAGTTTCACAGATGACTCTGATGTGCAACCAAGACCTTGATCCAAATAAGATGGTAGATATGATTCAAAAGAGGCCAGTGAAAATGCCTGCGTTCACCAAAAAAAAAAAAAAAAAAGGTGAATGACTTAAAAAAAGAAAAAAAAACTGTCTCTATCCCTAAATAGAAGACAAAACAATAAATACATTTCTCACCTTTTAATTTTCTATTTTGTGTTTTTCTTAGTTTTAAGGTCCAAAGCACCATGGACCCAAGCATTATCACAAATATCTTTATTTGCATAAGTTAAAAATGTTTAACCAAGGTATAAGGGCACCATGATACTTTTCCAGAAAATACAGAGAATTTGAAGACCTACTATATAAGCTGCTAATATTTTCCTTTAAATAATATTCTCCTCCATTAGTTTTGATCTTGAGTATTCATATATTCTGTATTTCTTTTAACATAAATAAATATACAGTGTGCTTTTTCATGTCAAATAATGATTGCATTCATATAAACAAGGTAACAAAAAGCTAGAGTTTGAATGCTCATCCACTGTTAGATAATATTAAGTATCTTCTATGTGCTTTCGCACATATATCACTCAAGAATTTTAAAAAACTAGGTGATCCATTGGAGACTTTCTCCCATATGTGCACAATGACTCATATAAAGGATATTCATTGCAGTGTTAATTAGCAAATTGGAAAAATTTGAAAACGAAAATTAGAAATTATTTCACATTTGGAAAATGGATAGTGGTTTACTCATACAACTAAATTCTACAGAAGAGCGAAAAATTAAAAACTAGATTGTACATTTACTGATATGAATACATGTCAAAATCAATATTGGATGAGAAATGCTACAAAAGGATATATACAAGATACTACTTTGTATACTTTTAAATGAAAAATAAATGCTGTAAGAATAAAAATATGTAAAGAAAAATATAAAAACATTCATGGAAACACCACACATGCATACAAACGTCAAATAATCACAACCTGAGGTGTGAAAGGAAGGATATATAGATGAGAGTAGGACTAAACCAATTAGTTTAAGTGAGATCTTATTTAAGTGAGATCTGAAACAAATATTGTAAAATGCTCAAGTGTTACTTTAGTATGCATGTTTTAAATTTTTATTTTTAGTTATGAAATATCTTCATGATTATAATATACATAGTGTATAAATGGAAAAGAGGCATTTTCAATTCTGAGCTCAATACATTTTATCAGTTTTAAAGAAAGAACAAAATTCTGCTGCCATATAGAAAAATTAGGTGTAAAATATGTTTTCTAACAATTAAACTAGGGAAAGGATATCAAAATAGGCTATGGTATTTAAAAAACAATGGCTCATGAAATGATCAATATCTTTATGTTTAATTTTGTTTCAAATCATTATAAGATTATTTTATGCATAAAGTTTACCTTCTTGACAGTTTCCTATATTAGACTTCAATTTTAGAACTAACTTTCCTAGGAAGTTTGAATATTAACTAGCAATTCAGTACCTCAGATCACTAGTTTATTCGTACATGTGTATATGAGTAAACATAGTTAAATTTCCTGTGTGATTTCCGACAGCTTAAAGATGTAGCAAATCATTAAGACAAAAATTAACATTAAATATTTTAAGTGCTATTATATGGCTATAAACATACATTTTCCCTTAAGCACAATATAAACATTCTTACACAGAACACTCAATAAAATGTTCCAGAGACATATCAGCTCAGACCAAATACCAGCAGCATAGTAAAGTGTCACTAAAAACACCCTCCCCAATGACTGTGGTTCTTTTTTATTCTCCTTTTAGCTGTTATCCACATTTGAGACACTGACTGCTCCAGAGCCCCTCCCCAAAAGCCACCAATTAGATATTAATTTTGACACAATACACTTAGTTATCTGTCTTCCCTAGAAGACCCATAATCAGAAATAAAAAGAAAGAAACTCTTACTACTGGTCCTTATCACCTTCTACTTGCAGATTCTCTTATTTTAAATAATACTACTTAGGTTTGGTGAGCTCTGTTGTTGCAATGGCAGTTTCCCTACTATGAATTAGATTCTCAATGAATCTTCCTTATGCTTGAGAGGGGTAGAACACCCCCTTGTGGACAAAAGACTAAACAACATTTCCTTGATTTTCTCTAACCATCTAATGAATTATTGAATCTGAAAACCTATATATATATATATATATATATATATACACACATACACACACACACATATATACATATATATGTATATACACATATATGTGTATATATACTATAAATAGATATATTTTACTAGTACCATCAAGATATCACATAGCACCGAAATTAAAATCTTCACAAAATTTCACCAAGAACTATGCTATAATTTCACAATTTACATGATAAATATTTAACAGACACGCTTCCATTACACTTCTATTTAGAAACTTAGTGTCATGTTCTATCTTTTAGAGATTCATTCTTCCTAAAGTAATGGATTCTGACTCTGTTAATCTGCCCAAAAAATACATACAGGTACTATTTTAAACTCACACACAAACAAGTGGGACACATACTCCACTGCTGTAAATTTTTAAATGAATCCTCCTTATGCTAACTTTCTACAGATGATTAGCCAATGGTTGTGTGTATAAGTGAGGGTAGACAGACAAAGGGAAAGGCGGCTCAGACAGATGGAGGGAAGGTTACTAGCTCTAGTTCCCATCTCCTTCCTACTCATCTCTGCACTGATATACTTAGATCAATAGATCTCTGACTTGAACGCACATAAGAATAAACTGGGGCACAGTCTTGACATCATCCTCAGAAATTCTAAATTGTTATGAGTGGAGTCAAGGGACTTGCATTTTTAATAAGCACCCCAGGTGACACTAATGCAGATGTCCATCACTCTGTGAAACAATGTTTTAGATATGTATAAAGTTACCTGAAGGCCACAGGCAAGATTTTATCCAAATCTAAAATTCTTTCGGGGTGAGAGGGAACACATGGTATTCTGGCATATAAGCATTACAGAACTAACATGTGTAAGAAGGAAATAGTAAGCTTCTTGAGATAACTTAATAGCCACTGAAGGCAAAGGCATTTTGATAAATGGTGTTTAACCTTTTCTGCTTCAGAGCTCAGAAAGAAACAGAAGTTATTTTTAAGTAGTGCTTTTAAAAAACAATGGGCAGAAAAGTGGAGGTATTTTTAGTAAGCACATCAGATTTTCCAATATGGTCATAAACAGCACTTTAAACTCATGTTTTCATTTTCACTTGTATTTACCTCCGCGTTTTTTGAGATTTTCAGTTTTCATTTTACTTCTGCTTCTAAATTCAGGCCCTTTAAAATCATCTTTGTCTTCATTCAGCACTGGCTCTGGTTGTACAATCACTGTACCTAGAATGATTTCATTTAAAAAACCATTACACATATTAAATGTGCAAGTGAAGTACAAGACTTCAGTTCAGATAAAGCCAACATTGCTGGTACATAGTTTTGTTTCTTTCAAGCTTTCAATATTTGTATAAGGACCTCTCAAGAATAAATAAAACAGGGAAATAGTAAAAGGGCCAGGTGTCAACAGATGACTTGTTGGAATATAGTTCATAAAAATGGGGGGGGCAGTATTATGTACTGATTCATAACAGAAATGTGTGAATAAAGTATAAAGCCTTATCCCAGTTCTGAATTTTATACTGCCTATCACAAAAGCTGTTCTGAATATGAACATCCATGCTAAGTTCCACAGTTTAAAAAATAAAAGGATCAGAAGAGAAAATTTTAAAAAGACATCCTATTCTTCTCATAAGCCAAATCATAAATGCAGAAAAAGATTTTTAAGGGGTTGTTTTATACTGCTTTGGGGGAGGATAGTGGGGGACAATGTGAGAAGTTAATTCTGCTATTACTGCTATACCTATTCTGTGGCATTTCCCAAATAATACATCCAAGTTTCAGTACCCTGCAAAGTCCTTAAAGAGTTTTAAACAAAGACTGCCCTAAGATGCTTAAGCTCAAGTGCTATGACAATAAATTGCAGAATGAGATCAATTGTTGGTCCCTATGGGAATCTTTTAGAAAGAATGTACTTTCTTAGCTATAAAACATGTGAACTGAGGAGAGAGGTTGCTAATTTAAGTTTTCATTTAGCAGGGGCATAGTAAAAAGGGTCCAGGTCTCACATTTACCTACACTGCTGGGCTTAGTAATTGGGCATTACTGACAACAATTAAGAAAGTACAGTCATCCCTCGGTATCCATGGGAGATTTGTTCCAGGACCCCTTGGATACCAAAATCCGTGGATGCTCAAGTCCCTTAAATAAAATGGCATAGTATTTGCATATAACCTACGTACATCGTCCTGTATACTTTAAATCATCTCTAGATTACTTGTAATACCTAATACAATGTAAACACTATGTTAATAGTTGCCGGCCAATGACAAACTCAAGTTTTGCATTTTGGAACTTTCCAGAATTTTTTTCCCCAAATATTTCTGATCTGCAGTTGACTGAATATGCAGATGCGGAACCCACGGATACAGAGGGCCAACTGTAAAATCTGGTAGTTGTCAGGGGCTGTCTCCCTGAAACATGGGTCTATGTTATTTAGCGAGCAGTTTTAGCAAGGTATAGCACCTACTTAAATGAACTTCTGAGTCTCTGAAAAAAAGGGGGAAATAGGGCACAGAGGGCTGAGTTTTTACAAACTGGTAAATATAAATAATCTCCACACACAGAAAAAACCTTTATTCACAGCAACCATTTCACATATATACTCTCAGAGAAGCCCTGGCATTTGAAAAAAGCTAAAGATTTATAGTTAACCAAAAAAAACAGATTTCTTTCTCAAGATTCTTCTCTAAATGGAAGCAAAGCAGCAGAGTGGAAAGAGCACTCACTAGCTTTGGATTCAGGCAGACCTGGGTTCAAATCTTAGCTTCTCAATTTAAAGCTGAAAAAGTTCCTTGAGCTCTGAATTTGTTCTTTCATCTCTACAAATAGAAACAGTAACTACCTTACAGCATTGTTTTGAGGATTAAATAAGTTAATTTTTTAAGAGTCTGGTACTTACACATACTCAATATAGTATTGTAACAATAATTATAATCAATCAAATTTAACCTTATGAAACAGGTCTATTTTTGGTTTGGTGGGAGACAATTACACTTAGTTCAGGTTCGTAACATCCCATACTAACTCTCTTCCACAATATCATTAAAACAAAGACTGGAATTCCTAGTTCTTAGCTCACCCAGTGGCCATCATAAGGACTCCCAGTGACAACCACTGAGAATGTAATAATCCAAAGTGAGTCACTGCCTATGGGACTCAGACTCCCATGTTAGTTGTTTCTGCCGTAGGCCACCAAATCCGTTACATAAAATTGTCACAGATGATTTTCAAAGCCAAGTAAATGGTAGGCCCATCAATTTTCCTTCTATCTCTCTTCTTTCTCTCATTCATTTCTTTTCCTCATTTCATTTCTCATCTATTATAACTCCCAATTTGTCCTAGTAAAGCAATGTATTATTCTAACTCATAATTTTTTTAAATTTCCATAATCAAAAAATGTGTCACATAAGCATAAGTAGAGAAAGAGAATAAAGTAGTAAACACTGCTGTAAATGATCTGTGAGAATAAATTTGAAAAATCTGCTAAGAGCCTTTAACCATATTATTCAATAAAGAAAAAAATCTAAACTGTTGATTTCTGAAACACTATGAAATTACCAAGACCCTTATCATTCTCTCATCATGTAATCACACTGCTCTCAGACTTGGGCTATGAAAAGTCCAAGATTTTCATTTGCCCCCCCCCTCCCCACCCCTGCCCAGGCCCCAATCTAATCAATGCACTTTTAAGGTTAGAAATGCAATGGTTGAGAGGAAATGTAACAAGGCATTTTTAAAAAGATAATTACAAGAAATATACCTAAGTCAAATTTAATAGGTAACTTCAGCTTTGTGTCTTAGGGAATTTAAGAATGCAGTAAGACTAAACTAGACTTTAAATGTTTTTTTAAGAAGTTTTCAGAGTATTCATTATGTTTTTCTATAAAGCAAACACATCAAAATTTACTGAACCAAAACTTAATATACTAAACTTTTAAACCAACTTCCACATTCAAGTATAATTTGGAAAATAAAATCCCTTTTCTAAAACCCAATGGAAAGAGAAAATAAGTCTTTTTCTTATCAAACCTGACTGAATATTCTAAATTTTGAACCTCAATAACACACATTATCATTACCATACTAATATATTTCCAGACCATCACTATCAAAATATTAGGTTTGGTCCTTCACACACAGCTTAAAGTAATCAAGTTCCAATTTTATAGTAATGACATTTAAAAATACATTTTAACTTCATATGAAAAATTAATACACTTTACCTTTTGGCAAGCTTTGCATAGTAATATCATTTTCTGAATTTTCATTAGAAGCATCTTCATTTACAGTTTCATCCAAAGGTTTTTCATCATCAGATTCTACATACTTTGTTACAATTGAAGGTTTCCTATGAGAGAATTAAGTCCACAGAATTATGGACATTTCTGCTATTGGAAAAATATCCAAGTAACATAAATAACATGTTTAGATTAAGCAGTGGCTCTTAACCAGGGATACATATCAGAATCACCTAGGGAGGCATACATCTCTATACCATATAACTGAATATTATGATTTAGTAGGTCTTGGGAGGATCAGAGTATGTGCATTCTGAAAAAGCTATGAGGAAGATTTTAAAGGGAACTCCTATTTAAGAATCATTACTTTAGGGAATAAGTTAATAACAAGCAAGCTGTGATTATTAAGAGACATTTCCACTGGTTCAAAAAAGTAAAAGTCCAATAGAATAAATTGCAAACTTCTAATACAAACTACACTCCACAGTTATATTATGCATTACATTATGCTTTGAAGTAGTTTCAGTTGTTACATACAATCCATTTTGACAATTTAACACAGACAAGTATTTTAACCACTCTTTGATCTTCTTATAACTTCCTCATAACTATGATGGCTACCAGTCCCCATCCTAGACAATTTCATATAACCCTAAAAAACTCATATTGCCTCATGAGGCATTCAACATTTCATTTCCCCTTTTCTCCTTTTTTTTAAAGCACATATATTATCTGACAGAAATTATCTACATATTGCCAGGGCCACTAATATATAATAAATCCCCTCCTGGGAAATTTTTAATTAAAATTAAAAGTCAAGTGATAGATACAAGAGATTCATTATACTATACTGCCCTTTTAAAAATATATATGTTTGTATAAAATAGTTTACTGAGAACAGAGTGCTTTAAGTTTAGAAAAAAAGATTATTCTAAGAAAAAGAAAATAAAACAACCTGAAAAAGAAAGTAACTTTTTTCCCTTCAACATCAACCAACCTCTTTGATCGTGATGATCCTGATGATTTGGATTTTTCTGAAGAGCTAGCTCCCTAAATGTGAGAAATAAATACAAAGGTGAGTAAAACTCTCAGAGAAACATCCCTACAATTAACTGTTTCCCTATACCAAGATCTCTAATATAGCGATAGAATGAGATGTAATTTTTATGCCTAAAATATTTTTCTAAAAGGAAATTCAAAAACTAATTCTAATTTACTCTCAAGTTTCCTTGATTTAAGATTAATATTTTTCATTAAATTGTTACTGTTGAATTTTGAGGTACAGAAGATGATACACTGCTATATCATGATCTTGGCCTAAGCCAACAAAGACAAAACAAAGGTGTAGAGGTAATCAGATCCCAACAGAGCCAGAGAGTTTTAAGGATCTAAACATGTGTCATTTTCTCTATCCTAACATATGGCACAGAGTACCTTCTACGATTTCCTTTGAGATACTAAATTTACCTTGGTTTTGCCAATATAATCAGTATATTTTATTGGATTAAATTTTTTACACTAGGTGGGAAGAAACCTAAAACTGTAGTGTAGGCTGGGGTATCAGGTGAAGGACCTCAGGATGGGTTCCAATAATACTGCTTAAGAGACTCTAAAATATTCAGTTTTGAGAGATCTCAGAACCATGGGGTTATGCCCATAACAACCACCTTGGGCACCACTGTTGCAATATAATAACACTCAAATACCTATCTGTTAGCAAGCCTTCAGTTGTCTGACTTTAGCTATACAGCTGAAGCAAACCACAACAATAAGAAAAACAATGAACACCATCAAAACGTGGACGACCCAAAATGAAGTACTGTAATAATACTTGGGTATAACAGCAAACTCAAACACATGCATGTATTAAATAAAAGCAACATGATGACATATTCTAGTTGATTAGCATTAATTAATAAATATCTTTTAAATGCTTAAAATTATTCTTACCTCTTCCTTGCTGTTTTCCATCATATCAGAGTTATTTCCAGAACCACTGACTTTATCTTAAAAGAGAAGAAGTAAAAACATTATTTATCTCTTTGGTGCATTATCAAATAGAACACCAATACCTATGATTCCATGGACCCATTTTGCAATCTATGTAGTATGTTTTTTTTTTTTAACATCTTTTGTGGGGTATAATTGCTTTACAATGGTGTGTTAGTATCTGCTTTATAACAGAGTGAATCAGTTATACATATACATATGTTCCCATATCTCTTCCCTCTTTGTCTCCCTCCCTCCCACCCTCCCTATCCCACCCCTCCAGACAGCCACAAAGAACCGAGCCGGTTTCCCTGTGCCATGCGGCTGCTTCCCACTGGCTATCTACCTTACGTTTGTTAGTATATATATGTCCATGTCTCTCTCTCGCCCTAACACACCTCACCCTTCCCCCTCCCCATATCCTCAAGTCTGTTCTCCAGTAGGTCTCTGTCTTTATTCCTGTTTTACCCCTAGGTTCTTCATAACATTTTTTTTTTCTTAAATTCCATATATATGTGTTAGCATACGGTATTTGTCCTTCTCTTTCTGACTTACTTCACTCTGTATGACAGACTCTAGATCTATCCACCTCATTACAAATAGCTCAATTTCGTTTCTTTTTATGGCTGAGTAATATTCCATTGTATATATGTGCCACATCTTCTTTATCCATTCATCCGACGACGGGCACTTAGGTTGTTTCCATCTCCGGGCTATTGTAAATAGAGCTGCAATGAACATTTTGGTACATGACTCTTTCTGAATTCTGGTTTCCTCAGGGTATATACCTAGTAGTGGGATTGCTGGGTCATATGGTAGTTCTATTTGTAGTTTTTTAAGGAACCTCCATACTGTTCTCCATAGTGGCTGAACCAATTCACATTCCCACCAGCAGTGCAAGAGTGTTCCCTTTTCTCCACACCCTCTCCAGCATTTATTGTTTCTAGATTTTTTGATGATGGCCATTCTGACTGGTGTGAGATGATATCTCATTGTAGTTTTGATTTGCATTTCTCTAATGATTAATGATGTTGAGCATTCTTTCATGTGTTTGTTGGCAGTCTGTATATCTTCTTTGGAGAAATGTCTATTTAGGTCTTCTGCCCATTTTTGGATTGGGTTGTTTATTTTTTTGTTATTGAGCTGCATGAGCTGCCTGTAAATTTTAGAGATTAATCCTTTGTCAGTTGATTCATTTGCAAAGATTTTCTCCCATTCTGAGGGTTGTCTTTTGGTCTTGTTTATGGTTTCCTTTGCTGTGCAAAAGCTTTGAAGTTTCATTAGGTCCCATTTGTTTATTTTTGTTTTTATCTCCATTACTCTAGGAGATGGGTCAAGAAGGATCTTGCTGTGATTTATGTCATAGAGTGTTCTGCCTATGTTTTCCTCTAAGAGTTTGATAGTTTCTGGCCTTACATTTAGGTCTTTAATCCATTTTGAGCTTATTTTTGTGTATGGTGTTAGGGAGTGATCTAATCTCATACTTTTACATGTACCTGTCCAGTTTTCCCAGCACCACTTATTGAAGAGGCTGCCCTTTCTCCACTGTACGTTCCTGCCACCTTTATCAAAGATATGTAGTATGGCAGTATTGGTAGTACTTTACTCACATTAAAATATAAGAGTTTTCTATCAACTATACTCCACAATAAAATTTTTTTAAAAAAAATAATATTGCTTTGGTTAAAAAAGAGTTTTCTCAGGCAGCCTGATTCCTCCAGCTCCATTTTTTGTTCTCAAGATTGCTTTGGCTATTCGGGGTCTTTTGTGTTTCCATACAAATTGTGAAATTTTTTGTTCTAGTTCTGTGAAAAATGCCAGTGGTAGTTTGATAGGGATTGCATTGAATCTATAGATTGCTTTGGGAAGTAGAGTCATTAAAAAAAAAAAAAAAAGAGTTTTCTGAGTGGCACGGACATATATACACTACCAAACGTAAAATAGATAGCTAGTGGGAAGCAGCCACATAGCACAGGGAGATCAGCTCGGTGGTTTGTGAACACCTGGAGGGGTGGGACAGGGAGGGTGGGAGGGAGGGAGATGCAAGAGGGAAGAGATATGGGAACATGTGTATATGTATAACTGATTCACTTTGTTAAAAAGCAGAAACTAACACACCATTGTAAAGCAATTATACTCCAGTAAAGATGTTAAAAAGAAATTCATGTAAAAAACCAAAAAAAATGTTTTCTGATTAAAATCACTCTTTTGACACACTAATCCCTTCTGAAACAGCATTTCTGAAAAGAGCAGTTTGTAATCAAAATATTTCCTACTGTAATTGTTCAAGGTTTTTCTCTTAGAAGAAAATTTAAGTTCCATCTTCTACTGAAAATAAAATCACATTAATTGTATTTTTCTTTACCATAAGACACTAAAAAAAGAAAAACAACTTCCTAAGGGAAGCAGAGGGAAGGAAATAATAAAGATTAGAGTAGAAATTAATGAAACAGGGAATAGAAAACAACAGACAAAAATCAACAAAACCAAAATAAGTTCTTTGGAAAGATGAATAAAACTGAAAAAAAAAAAACTTAGGCTAGATGGACCAAGAAAAAAAGGAGACAAGACTCAAATTACTAGAATGAAAAATTAAAGAGAGGATGTCACTACTTACCTTAAAGAAATAAAAGGATTATAAAGAAATATCATGAACAACTGTATGCCAACAAATAAGATAACCTAAATGAAATGGACAAATTCCTAAACACACACAAACTACTGAAGTTGACACAAGAATAAAGAGACAATGTGAATAGACCTATAACTGAAAAGACTGAATTGGTAATCAAAAAACTACCCACAAAGAAAAGCAAAGGTCCAGATGGTTTCACCACCAAATTACACCAAACATTCGAAAAAAAAAAAAAAAAAAGCATTAACACCAATTTTTCACAAACTCTTCTAGTAAAAAGGGAGGGAACACATCCCAACTCATTCAATGAGACCAGTATCATACCAAACCAGAAAAGATACCACAAAAAGACCAACATCACTTATGAATACAGATGTAAAACTCCTTAATAAAATACTAGCAAACTTCAAAGGAATGAAAGACATGTCTTTCTGCTACAGACTACGAGAGAATACTTGCAAAAGACATATCTAATAAAGAACTACTATCTAAAATATATAAAAAACCCAAAACTCAACAATAATAATATAAACAACATGATTAAAAGCAGGCAAAAGATCTGAAGACATTTTACCAAAGACATGCAAATGGAAAATGAGCATATGAAAAGATGCTCCACATCATATGTCATTCGGGAAGTGGAAATTTAAAAAATAAGATAACACTATATACCTATTACAATGGACAAAATGCAGAACACTGACAACACAAAATGCTGGTAAGGATGTGGAGAAACAGGAACTCTCATTCACCACTCAAAAAAATGCAAAATGGTCCAGCCACTTTTGGCAATATCTTACAAAATTAACCAAACTCTTACCACATGATCCAGCAGTCACACCCCTTGATATTTACCCAAATAAGTTGAAAATAAAGTCCACTCAAAAAACTGCACACACATGTTTTTAAATATTTTTACTTATATAAACACCTTCGAGTTCTGGCAGAGAGCGCAGTGAGAAGCGGATCACAGCCTTCTAGCCCGGGGCCCTCCAGGCCCTCTGGCCTCTGGTCGGCAGGTGAACTGGGGGGGCCCCGGGACAAGCTCAGGCTGTGTCTTACCGAGCCCCAGAGCCCTTGCCGCAGCCGCCCACTGGCAGGGCCCGAGCCTGGAAGCAGCAATGAACTGCTCCCGCAACCCCACCTCCGCGACCTAATGGCGGCGGCCCCTCGGAGCCCAGATCCCACCTACCGCCGGTCTCTTGACCCCACGCTGCAGGGGTTAGGCAAGCCTCTGGCAGGCCACCAAGAACATGGCGCCTTTGGGCGTCGGGCGTGGCAGGGCGAGAAGAATGGCGGCCACTGGAACGCTGCGGAGGGCCATTAGAGCCTTGAGGGCCCAGGAAGGGGGCTCTACGTGGACGCCAGCTCAGCCACCCTTAGGCCTTGGAGCCCGCGCGGATCCGGGAGCTGAGGTGACCTCTCTACCCCAGTTGGACGAGACTTCACCTCGTCCGGACAACGACGGACAAAGGTCTTAACGGGCCCGGAAGGTGAGCGGAGCCCCGGTCGACGACGGGTGGAACGTTAGCGGGTCATTGGGCGGTTGGTCGTCGTTCTACCAAGACCTCGATGTCGGAACATAGAAATGGTATTATAACGTACTACATGTGGCCAATAGGAAGTGCCAGGCACCCTTTGGGAAGATTTACTGGCCGTTTATAGAAGGCCTGTGTATATAATATGAAAAAGCTGCTCTCAACTTTCCCCCTAACCTTTGGAAAGAAAACTTTTTGCTACATATAGGCCTTCTAGATGTGAAGAGGTTGCCGACGTATGATAGAGTTAAAGTCACATGTCTTGTAAATGCCCATTTGTTTCTTTAAAAAAAACATAGAAAAGAAATGTCTTCTGGAAATGACTTTTCGAAATGGAGTTGTTTGACCACCTCTAGAGGCGACATCAGGAGCCACAGAAGTCCATGTTTGTTCAGTGGGTTAGAAGACATGGAATGGAAGACGTTGAGGAGGAAGGAAAGGTGGTTCTGTGCCAGACTGGTCACAGTTAGAAGACATTTGCATATTAGAACCATTGTTTTGTGTGTGCATTTTACTCCTTACTACTGTATGTGTAGTTGACAATAAGTACTTTTTTGAAATATCTAGTCTTTCTAGATCTTCTGAAGTGCCTGATATATGTTCAAAGTAGAGGTAGTAAAAAGACATTTTGTAAATATCTTTTTGTTAAAATTCGTATGAAATGTTGTTTTGTGGGGGGAGGGGTGGCCAAACCACCTTTTTGAACAGTACACAGTATGCACTGTGTTTGTTTGTGCACTGGTTCAAGGTCGCGGGGAGGAGAAGGAAGTGCAAAGAACTCTGTGCCAGTGTGTTTACAGTGAGGCAAGATATGTTCCTGCATTTTGTTTCACTTTGCTGTGTA